CATATTGTCAGGAGGGACCAGTTGCTGGAGAAGGATATCATGTTTGGTAAGGTGGACGGTCAGAGAAGAAGAGGAAGACCCCCAGAGAGATGGATTAGCCAAGTGGCAGCATCAGTAGGCTCAAGCGAGGCAACAATAAGGTTGACCTAGGACGAGGCAGTGTTTAGTTCTGTTGTGCATAGTGTTGCTTTGGTTCAGTACTGACTCGATGACACCTAATAACAACAACATATACAAAGTCAGTTTGAACCACAATGTCAGTGGTTCAAGCTCAGCAGCTACGCATTGAAAACCCCACACAGGGTTGTTATGAGTTGGAACTGACTCAATGATGCAACGGCACTTAACAACAATATATACATATATTATACAATAACAACAATATATGTATATATCCATATTTCCTTAAAAGAACACAATGCTCAAAGCAACATTCTTTCTGGAGTCCTGGTATGGTGTTGTAGGATAAGCACTGAACCATAGGGTCATTTGAATTACAAAGTTGGCAGCTGAAATTCACCAGCCACTGCTCTGAAACCCCACACAGGGTCACTGTGAGTTGGAACCGATGCTACGGCACTTAATAACTTAACAACAACAGTGTTTGATTCAAAGATGACTTCAAGGGGTAGTTTCAATTTAAGGTTTAAAGTGCAAACATTTTTCTGAGGGTAATAGTTGTGGGGTGGACAGGGGTGTCAGCAGTTTCAGTGGCTCCAGAAAGTCTAGACTCTATGAGGCTTGAGAAGTTCTATTCTACACTTTCTTCCTTTGGAGCAGATTTCTTCTACAAAATCTTTGATCAAATCAATAGTTTGTGAGTTTGGTAGTAAATGACCCTTGCAATTCGGAAGCAGCAGGGCCTAAAGAGCAGAACAGTGTCCACACACCAAATGGTAATCTAAAAGGCAGTAGCCATGAGCCCTCAAAGCGCCATTGTTTCAGCGTTCCCCACAAGAAAGGAAACACAGTCATCTTATACATCTCCTTCCATCCTGTTAGACTTTACTGTATTTCATCCCATTCCTAACTCCTCTTCACCTCCATGGGCAAGATTATGGGAGAGTAAAAGAAGCTCTTTTGTATGCATTTGAGAATCCTGATGCTCTCAAATGAGTCTTTCAGTGACACTAAGAGCGAAGGAAGAAAGGTCTGGTGATCTGCTTCTGAAAAGGAACAGTTAAGAGAAAGCTATGAAGAAGTTTTACTCTATAACACACGAGGCTGCCAAGAATTGGCATCAACTCAATGGCAGCAGGTTTGGTTTGCCTTTGGATCCCCTCAACGGTCGTTAGGCATTAATAGTGACAACTGAGTCTTATCAAAGAACAGGAAGGAGTGAGTAAGTCTTACCTGTCTCCTCTTCTCCGGTGGAAGTGATGGATCGCCATCCTACAAAGAAACAAATGTTACATTTTACATTTCTCGAAGAAGAGATTTTCTTATGTTCAAGAAAATGAACCAAACTATGGCCCTAAATTCAGACGCCCACCCCCAGAAGCCCTTAAACCAGGAATCTACTGAACCAAGCTCAAATAAGCCTCTTAAGAAATTAACTCTAAACTAAACCACAGTTATTTTGGGGGTGGGAGGAAGCCCAAGGGAATCAGCTCCAGTGAGGACCAAATCTTTATGTTTTCTAAAATTAGGTAAACTGGAACAAAACAGGATTTATCAAAACTATTTTTTGAGCAGAGCCTCTACTGAAGTAGTGTATTTCATTTGGTTGGGGTTTCTCTTTTAAATATAGATGCCTTGAAGAATAACAAGGAAGCTGCAAGCCACCGCATAACATGGATAAACTTTGAGGACATTATGCTGAGTGAAATTAGTCAGTCACAAAAGGGCAAATATTGCATAAGACCACTATTGTAAAAGCTTAAGAAAAGATACCCATACTAAAAGGGGGAAAATTTATTCTTTGTTGGTTAACAGTGGGGTTGGGGTTGGGGTTTGGGGGGAGGTGGAGGGAGGCGATGGTAGAGCAGTGGGCAGACACATCATAGTTCAGGTGTCGGGGAGGGCAATATACAAGAAGGGGGAGGGGGTGGAAGAACAAGGTAGATAGGGGAACACTGAAACAGGTTTGCATGGGCTAAATAGGACAGAGGTAAATAGTGATGCATGCTCAACCTTGGAACAACAGGGCTCTGTGATACAGGAATCAAGGAACAGTTTGAAGAGGGAAAATAATACTAAGATGC